TCTAGATAAGAATAAATAGGCACAGGACAGGAACAGCTTACACAGTAGTGCTGGCTGTGTTTTACTACTCCTAATACAGCACAACATGCATAATCCATTGGGTGTTGCATCACATCCTGTGTATTGATAGGCTAAAAGGTCATACCATTTCCAGTATGGCAGTATGGCTCGGGGCAGTTAATGTATGGCACCACTTAGACCTATTAGAGACCAACCATTATGGAGTTTTTGAGGCTGATAATCATGTAGATATTTAAGCCTGTTTCCTACATACACGTTTTAGCAAGGGTGCATTGAATTTGGTTATTTGTTTTACAAAAATATGGAGTAAGGCAAGATATTTTATAGCTAAGCAATACATCTTCTTACAAATGGCCTTGTAGCTTATTTTTGGCTCAGGACAGTATATTGCCATGGCTTTGTTTTTTTCTCCGAGTAGTATCTCACCCAGGAATGTTAACATGGCATTCCACATGATGGCCTTCCCTTGAACAGAAGGATATTTCAGCTCACTAATCTGATAAACTGAAAGCCACGTCAGTGAAATCACTATGTACTTGTTAACAATATTCTGCTTATGATTTTATATAGTTCATCAGTTCCAACTATGGTTGGACCCTGGACAGCGGGGGCCAGTCATCGCTTTACTAAATCACCTCAACATCCTGACGCTTACCACTGGATGGAAACCAGTGCTCGTGACATGTTGATAAAAGGCGACCGTCTTGTACTTTTTATCACTTCCTTTGTTATGTTTAAAGACATTTCTTTGGTTGTCTCCATACAGATTTCAAGAGATTTAACCTAACCCTGTTCCTGACAAATGAAGATCATGTGATGCGATTGAAAGCCCTAGAACAGCAGCTATAGGGACATTGTTGAGATCATTTCTCAAATCGCATGTTTATTGTCGAATCGTATCAATGTTGTAAAATCGGATTGATTGATTAGTAAGGAACAAAACAGCCAGTGTTTGTGCTGCTGATTGTGTTTCCATTATTTATAGGTCTACTGTCTGTTATTTGTGCCACTGAAGGCATGAAGCCAGCTTCTTTGTTTATTGCTCCGGTCCATGAGTGCTGCCGGCAATGGAATCTGAGCCAAGTAGACTTAACCAATCATGTGACCTCTGGCAAAGTACAGTGATCTTAGATTGGGCCAAACTGTGCCATTAACAAACTCCGGTAGAGCACTGTTTTTTTATTATTATTATTATTATTTAAGATATTTGCTACAAGTCATTTATAATTGCATCAGTTTGCAAACATAGTGTTTCAATTTGCTAATATGCATTTCCATCTAGAATCATTTGTTTTCACTATTGGTCCACACTGGAGGCATGAGCCTTTCCTCAGTTAGGTAATCCATCTTAGTGAACATCAAACCTGCTTGTTCTATTATATGGTAATGTGGTACAGAATGTTCCAATCAATGTGCTCTTACATTAAAGTTGCAGAGGGTAACTTTTATAAAACTAACTATACACTAATAAATAGTTTCTGAAACTTTCACTATATCCTGACAGTAGTACATGAGACAGATTTATTCTAAAAGTTGTAAATCTCCCGTGGTTACATCTGGCAGTTCTGGCAGCAGAGCTCTGCGCTCTTCTAGTTATTTATTTTATTCAAGAACCCAGTGATGGCAAGAAGATGTGCCAAAAGGAAGTTACCTAACACCAGCACAGGACTTTTGCAACAAACTTAATTCTGCAACAGGGTACAAAGATGACAAATAAACATGCAAAATCGCCAGAAGAGAAATAAGACTTTGAAGTAGTAACTAAGTATTTTACTATGAGCACCAGCTCTAATGGTCAACCAAAGAATACACAAAGATAAACAGATGTGCTTGCTCGCAGTCTTGGTGGAGGTTAGATAAGAGCTTTGATATCAGTTTCATCTCTGTACACACTTGCCTAGCTCAGCGTGCAAAACCAGAACTTCACTAGAAAGGGGAAGAAAATAAACCTTAGTTAACGTTGTTAGAACGTACGTATTAATAATTCCAAATCCTACTGTCCGAGTTAATCGTCTGCTATGTAAAGTTAAAGCTCAAGTTCCTGATTTATGTGCGCAGCAAACACTGTGGACCTTTCGAATGAGGCAGGTAGAAGTTTATGTTGTTAAAGAAGTGGCTCTAAAGCAGTGGATCCTTTTTTTGAGCATCAACGCCCCCTGGAAATGACTTGTTTCACTATCATAATTTGAACCATTCAGCCCGATAACATTTGGAAAGTCTAGGCTAAATTATTTTAACCCTTAATTCAAGTTAGCAGAGGGCTAAACAGAAAGTTAGCGGCTTGGAGAAGCCTCTGGTGTACTAGTTCTACAGGCCTCACGATGCAGAAGCTTCCAACGCTGTATCCAGTTCTTCCTTTTTAAAAAAAAAAAAAAAAAATCGGGGATGCTTTTACCAAGCTCGACTAGCCTCCATATTTTCTGTCCACATGAGGCGCTGTGTCGCTTAACAGTTTCAGAGGGCCCATTTGCCACTTCAAAACAACCTGTGGCCCTACTTCAATTGTGCAAGAGCATGTCAGAAAATCTGAAGATCAGTCCTCGCTCCCCTGGCTGGACCTGCTCAAAAACAATGGATTAGCAGATGTTTATTAAATATCTGTATCAGCCTCAAACATCCATTGACTCTCTTAAAACATCTGAAACAAAGATCGGTGTTCTTTTATGGCTTCATTCCTTAACACTTAACAGTACACAGTCAAGCAGCTACAGTGCCCCACTGATTCATGCCGTTATCCAGATTTGGTATCAGTTATGATAATCATCTGCTTAAGCTGCATCAAAGAACTGTATTTCTAATTAAGAAAAAGCACTTGGGGCTATAAAGTTTTGAAAAAAAAGGGACAGCCATTTTATGTACTGCATTTAATGAATGTCTTCTATTCATAGCCTAGATGTTTACAGTACACAGAGTGAGTAACCAGTGCAAATTCATCAGGGCTATGATGTATAAGCCAGGCTGCTGTTGCCAACAGTTCTGAATTTTATCTAAATGTAACCTTGACAATTAAAGGCTAGTTGGGGTCAGATAAACACAGGCCAGTTCTCTGTGCTCCAGAAGAAGTGACTGTTTAGAAATCAGAGCTCAGGTCACCTATGGTTACTTCAACGAAAATCATCTCCAACAGCCGTCATCACTGTCACATGCAGCTGTGACCCGAGTGTCCTTCCAGCCAAACGCAGCAGCTAATTTCACTGAAAATAACATCCACAGAGGAGAAACTAATCAGTCAAGTCAGCTGCTGTTGAGTTGAACTGGAGGGACAGTGAGAGGGGACTGTAGCTCATCGGCTGCAAACTGAGCTCACACTGACCAGCTGACTTATGAGATGAAAAAAATCATGTGTATACACATGATTTTGCAATATAAGCAAGATTGTTATTTATTCACTGTACGACTAAAGACACATTTGTCCACATACTTTTTCAAAATTATTACTTGTCTTGGTAGAAGACAAGCCATGAAGCAGCCACTTAGGCTATATAGCCAAAAGTCTGGGGGCATCCAGGATTATATTTGCACCTGTTTTGGCCTAGCCTTCCTAGCTCCACTGAAGTGAAAACTTCAGACCCCCTCCAGACATGTATTACCACATATACAAATAGTCAGCTTGAAACCTGTATAATGTGTTTTTTCTAAAAAACAAAAACTTAACTTTTCGCATTAAAACCCTTAGAAATACTGGCTTTTGGGATGATTTTCAGTATCTTTCAGCAGAAGAATGTGAAAACATCCTTCTAGTGTCAAACTCTGCACACACACACAACAGTGTTCTTAAAACAACACTTTGGGGGTGACCCCTCCCCATTTCAACATGACAATGCCCCCACACACAAAGCCAACTGCATAAAGACAGTTTGGCCTGCACCAAGCCCTGACCTCCACCCCACAGAACACCTTTGGGATGAACTGGAATGCTGATGATGGCACTGGCAACTAACTAATTACTTTCCATTTAATGGTTTCATTGTTTATTCTATCAATTGTCAGAAAATAAAGGAAATGCCCAACATATCTCTGTTGTGTGACTTATGTCTTCAAGTTGCTATTTTTGCCCAATAGGGCTGAAGCCAACAGTTTTTTTTTATAAACGAGTTGATCATCAACAGAGCAGTTGTTTGGTTCTGAAAATGGTAAAAAAAAAAAATGTTGACCAGAGCCCACGATAACGTCCTTAAATGTCTTGTTTTGTCCACAACCCAAAGATATTCAGTCTACTGTCAAAGAGGACAAAAGAAAGCTGAACATATTCACATCTGAAATCAGAGAGTTTAGACATTTGTACACAAAAAAATCAGTTATCAAAAACTGTTGGTGATTCATTTAATAGAATCAATTAATCAACTAATTGTTGCAGCTCTACTTCTAACAAGACTGTAGGCTGTTACAGCAGCACATTAATGTCTATCAGACATCACACATGGTATTAATGCTCAGACACCCACATACTTCTGGTCTGCCACACAGTACTGATAAATGAGGGTGAGTAATTACAAGCATTTCAAGAGAGGGAAAAGCAGCTTCTAGCCAAAAACGGCTTTCAGTCAATATGCCATTGACTTGAGAATCACCTGATTACAACTATCTGAAACAGTTTTTATAATAACATGCATAATGTCAATAAAATAACCATAGACATCAGCTGTGCACCTGTAACCACACTCAGGTCAATCTGATAAAACATCAACCCCACTCTGTGGCATTAGGCCTTTATGTGTCAGTGCTACCAGAAAACAAAAAAGCAGTCGTGCAGGCTTGCTGCGACCTACAAGGCGAGGAAAAGCACATGTTGTTTCTGTCTGCACATGTGCACACAGTATGTATGCACGACACATGACCTGGAATGCAATGATAGGGTCTAGTATTTAACGATCAACTGAGGATGTGAGCTGTGGTAGTCATGGTGTGCAACACTTACAGGCTGATTTCTACCTTGATTCCATGAGCGGCAGCCCCACCGCAGAGTCCTGTGTTCTTACCTTGTCCAGCTCGTCGTGCAGCTCCGACAGGGTGGGTCTGATGAGCTTCTCCCCCAGCGGGGCCGCCGTCTGCCGGTAGAAATCGATGTTGGGCACGGCATCAATGGTGTTGTGGCCAAAAGTCCTCAGGTAATAGGTGTTGGTGTGGGTGTCATAGTGATAGTGATGCTGGCCCCCTGTGGATGAATGCAAGCTGGTCTCGCTCATCACCGTGTCCCCGTTCTGTAGCCCATCAGCCGGCCCCTCCGGAGAGGCCGCGCTACCCGCTCCGCTCGGATCCGCGAAGTTCACGACCCGAAACCGGCCTTTGGCTTCTTCCCCGCCGACCCCTGGATCGGAACACGGGCCATCTGAGGGAGCGGTGGGAGTCGCCTTGTCGCTGGATGGGACGGTGGTGGAGGCGTCGGAGCTCGGGGACTTATCTTCTGTGGCTCCCGCTGCCTCAGCCACAAGGTCCACCTGGAACCGGCTCTGGCTGGGCGTCGGACCGGGCGGTTTCAGACCCGCATCAGGGGCTAGAAAATCATTTTCTGTCGCGGCGCTCTCCGCCGGGGCGGAAGGCGTTGGGGATGGCGCTGACATAGCACAAAAAACACAAATGAACGTGGAACCGCGCGGGGAAAAGCCACGCTATGGCCCGCAGAACTCACTGGAGGAAGTTCAGAAGCCCTGAGGTGTGCGGTGACAAATCCACAACTAGCTGTTCGGGGAGGACCACGCTGCTCTGTCGGGGTCAGAAAAGGCTCTAGCAGCCCGACGTGCTGAGAGCGGTAGTAGTGAAGGATAGCTCGTTAGCTGTCTCGGAACATGAGGCTACAGGCTGGAAACCTTCAGCCACGCTCCTCTTCTTCTTCTTCTTCTTCTTCCGTGGCAGTAAATCTAAATCCAAAAGCCGGTTACTCTCGCTCGCTCACGGCCACCGGACTTAATCCCGTCCACCTCTGGTCTGTCCGTTGTCCTAAGCAGGATGCTGTTTTCGACCTTGCCGCAGCTCCTCCTAGACACCCAGAGCTTCCCTAGCTGCTATTATACACACTGCAGTCGGCATCAGTGAAGGCTGGGCTCCCGCTGATCGAGGGGGGCCTCGCGAGATGTCATCGTTCGTGGCACTTTTTTTAAGTTGGAGTTGGGAAATGTCGCGAGAGCTCATCACAATACCCAAACAGTAGGCGTGACGTTTTTTAGGCTGGGAGGAAAAGATGGGACGAGGACGGGCGGTGGTGAAACTGCACCAACAGGCCCACCAATACTCTTTGTGTGTGTGTTGCTGGCTGTCTGTCTGTCTGTCTTTCGGGAAGCTTCCTGTATGGCTTCCTGGGATAGGCTGTGACAACCGTTAGGGTGTTTGCTGCCATACTGTGGGGTCTAACAGTTAATACACGGTGTTCTTCGCCAATAGAGTTTTCTTTATGGATGGGTTAAAGCTGCAGTAGATAACTTTTATAAAAATAACGTTTTTCTCATATTTACACAATTTTTCACAGTTTCCGCACTGAAGTACATGACAGATAATCTGTGAAAATATCAGGTTCCTCTGGCTCCTCCTAGTGCTCCTAAAGACATTTGCAAGAATCAACCAGGCCTGACCAAAAACAACCAGTTACCTGAAGTATGAAATTATTATTTGAACATGCTACTACAACCTGCCCCTTTCCACATGACGTCACTGTGGGAACAAATAATGTTATTTAATGTGTAAACAACTCTTAAGCTGGTTTGTTTGTATACTGACAAGCATCTTTTCTCTTGCTAAACAGACATTGTTTTCATCAAAGGAAAGGAGTGGGGGCCAAAGGTGCTGCCAGCACAGTTAAGGGACTCATGAATAATGTTATTATGACATTAACAACCCACAAACAGCCGGGCCATTAGAGATGGGTGTGGACATGTGGAAACAACATTGGCTGAAACTGAACCACCTTTGTGTGAAAGTGTCACAAATGTATTTCAGAGTCATTTTCAGTAAATGTCCAAATATACTGCATTGGCTATTAGTTAGTGATATTTCTGGTGGTTCAGTTCAGAGAATGCAGTGTTCTAGAAGGGTAATAGGTACTATGAGCTCTTTAAGATATTAAGGGGCCTGACCATGAAGAGCTTTTTAGGTGAGGAGGAGGATTTTTAATGTACCTGGCTGCTATGACGACAATTTCCCTTTGGGGATTAATAAAGTATATCTTTC